TWTTTTTTWWRARWATCTGATGTGTCTTAACGACTTTTAAATTTCTGTGCGCGCGGAACCATCATCTAAAGTTTAGAAGTGCTTTTGCCAATCAAACCACAGATCGGATGAGTTTGTGAATTTATTATTTTTGGAAAAGGCAATAGCAATATTTCAAGTTTAGTAAGTCTTGGATAAGTCTAGGAAAAGAGGCTGCGACAACCTGCCGAACGAAACGTCAGTCCGTCTCTGCCATCGACAAGAATTAATAATAACAACACTTTGTTATCGTTTTACAGAAAACATCGTACTCAAATAATAATGCAGTCACTTTAAACCATGAGACCTAGCCAACGCACTTGGCTTAGAATTTAATTGAAAAACAATTGAACATTGAAGATTAGATTAATAAGAGATAAAGGTAAAATGATTCAAAAAACAAAGACTCACAAAAATTCGCTGCTTTCGTTTAGAACTGGAGCAAGATAGAATACCATCCACGCTTTGCCACCGAAACAATCGAAATACGGCCGAGTCCACAAACCATCTTCGAATGTCACAAGTAATCCGTCGCGGGTATCATTCTCAAAGCTTTCGTTCGCGTGTCTCACTGAATAAAAGTCGGTCACTTATGTCCAGTCTGTTGGCTTCTTATTTCTAGTTTTTTTTTCTGATTCCAGTCCACCAAATAGCGTTTGGACTCGTCGAGTAGTCGTAATCTTCCGTCTGCGAAAGTTCCACAACATGGATGATTCCGTTCAGTCTATTGTCCATGAAAGCATAAGGACAAAACCGTTCAAAGTCCCTGTACAAGTTTGGCTCAAAACATACTACTGATCCGTAAACAGATGGTGAAAAGCGGACGTTATAGCGAGCTATTTGATACAGTAAAATGTCATTGTCTACAACAGATTCGGCAGTAGTGGACGATTTCACTGGTCAGAGAGAAGTCAAGAGATTGGCGACTTTGACTGCCACGAGAGCTTCATTTTTCCATCTCTTGCTATCAAACGCTACGTTGAGAACTGCAACATCGTTGCATCCAGCAGTGTCGTGTAGTTTATCGTGAATTTGGGCCACATATTGCAGCTCTCTCTGGAGAAAGTTACCTTTCAGATTCTCTCCAGCTGCATCTACAAATATTTTGTTATCCCAAGAATGTTTCGATAAAGCAGCAAACAAGAATAACACTTGCCACAATTTCATTGATTGTCCTGCTCACACAAAAAGACGAACATTCATAAAACTCTCCTATATTAGGGTTGCTACGATGAATTCATAGTGAGGAAGTGAATATTTATAGTAAAGTTAAAATTATTTTAGAACCCAGACCCTCGGTCGTATGGTGTCAGCTGCTGCTAATCTATGATGGTTGATGCGGTCATTTGCGAGACATAACATAAACAAACATGATTAAAAGATGAAAAAAGATGGAAAAGAAAAATGCCATACACATCATGCAAGCACAAGAGAAATTACTGAGCTGAGAACACAGCCTCATAGCCCTTATTCCAGTTCTGCGTGCGCTGCGTAGTTGGACAGCGGCTTCCTCTATTAGTGCACACGAAAGCGAGGCTATAGGGTAAAGCTTTCTCGAAGATTACAGAAGCTGAGGGGTCGAATTTAGCATGAGTGTCGAAAATGTTGAATTATTTTCAAAGTCAGTATTTTTATCTGCCGAAGAGAAAGGGAAAATATTAAGCGGTAAGCGTCCTCGTGATGTTACAAAAGAAAGGCTAAAGGAATGGCTTTCATATCGCAAAGAAATTGCCAAAGATGAAAGTGCTGGATCGACAGTTTCGAAACCCCTGCAAGTTCAAAGGTGAGTTCATAATATTTATTTAAATCTTGGCATTTTTACCCTGATGATAAATCATTACAGAATCTTAATGGGATGACGATTTTCTTGAAAAGTGGCAGCACATGTAAAGAAGTGAACGAAGCGAGCAAAACCACTAGTACCACCACAGCTGTTACAAGCAGTGGTCTTCCTGATTCTGTGGATTCGAGAGGATCTTTGAACATGATTGGATCTGTGTTTTCGATGCTCTTCAGTTGCTCATCAATGACATTGATGTCCACAGTCGTATCCTTACTCACCTTGAGACATCTCTCAGTCTCACTTATCCTCTTTGTTGTTGTTGTTGCTGCTTGTCGATCATGAGGTATTTTCCTCCGTGGCTTTTCAGCGGAGAAAATAAACTTCGTAGGTATAGCGTCCGGTTTGAGTCGCATTCGCTGTCCTCCTAGGGACTTTACAAAGCACTCAGGCTCAAAATTCTTGCTACATAGATAGGAATTTTTGTTTAAAGGAGTGTTCTCCCTTCCGATTTTTACCAGCCATTTCTGGAGATGACCTTTGTTTGATAGCGGCAACGAATGCCATGAGAGGCCACAACAATCTTCTTTTGAACTTCGGCTCGTACAGCCAAAGGCTATACAGTGTCTAACCATTATGTTTTACCTAGACTTTAACAGCGATATAATATTTTCTACACTTCTGCTAGTAATCTTCAGGGAAGCTTGACCCGATAGCCTCGCTTTCGCGTACGCAACCATAGCATACCGCTGTCCAACTAAACCGCGCACGCGGAACTGGAATAAGGGCTATTTTGACAATAAATATTGATCTCTCTGATGGAATTTTTATGTCAGCAGTAAATAAAGTTGCCAGCTAACACCACGATTTTGAACAACTAGAAAACAAAGGAAGAGTTGTGTCAGCTAGAGGAGATGTTGGGTTCTCAGATTATATACAATGTAACACATTCGAATCAAAAATTACTCGAGTCCTTCGTTTTACTTTTACTTTTGCTTGAAGTCCTTTATGGTCATTGTTTTTCGAAATAAATACTATTCAGCATATTTTCTTTTCATTTTGAGCTTTTTTTCAATCAGGATAGAACGGAAAAACAATTTTAAAAGTTTTGAAATCTCACGGCTAAAACTCGACGGGAACTTTTCACCTACAATGAGGTCAGCCATAACCATCTCTATGATCCATTTATTTATTTTTCATAACATATTCGCTAATCACAGCGCGCGTTATCATGTAGGTATTTCTAAGGACTCTTCTTCTTGCATCAAGAAGTTGAATTATCAGGCTATAAGGACAAGCTAGTTGTTATTTCATTACTTTCATCAAACAGCTGATATTGATAAACTTCTGTCAGTCCTCGTGTTTGTTCCACTTCTTAAAACTGCCTACTTCTTACTGAGGTGGAGGCACAAACAGGAAGGACTGGGCTAGAGTCGTTGCGAGATGTCAGCCTCGTTCACGGGATTGACGCCGGATGTTTTTTGCCACCTCAGTATTCCACGCTCAGCCGATTTCAGCTTCCTTCGCGTGTGTGAAGCAAGGAAAAGTTGTCAATGTAGGTTTGTTTCCTCTGTTTTCTTTTTTAAGGATAACTTGGTGCATATCATATGATTACTTATTTTACAAGGAAAATTCTCTTAGCTTAGCAGGATTATTCAGAATCAAACATTTAAATTTAAGTTGCTTATATTTCGCCGCGCGCCGTGAACTTTCACTTGGCCAAGATAGCCTTAGCTAGTTTAGTTACCGATTGTAGTACATTCTTCTGTGAAACGGAAGCAATCGCCTCAAATCGCAGTTCTTCAAAGTGCACGTGTTGTAACTGAGTGCGCGACTCACGGTGATTGCTAGAAATTCCTTCGTTCGAATGAAATGAAGTAAGTCTTAGTTTTTTATATGGTAACTTCTCAGAGGTATGCTGTGTACTTGGGTAAGTTTGAACAGAAAAGCAGATGACGCCTGCTTTCGCTTTGTTAATGATAAATTATTTCCTGATATCGTCGTGAACAGTCATGCATTAACAGCGTTAAAGGTGCTAACCGCACTTTAACGGACAAACTGGAAATAGCTCGACAAAAGTCAAAGGACAAGTTTTGTCATGACAATTTTCGTGGCTTCTATTTTATCAGTTGAAACTTTAAAAGTTATAAAATTTCGTCGACACTGAAAAATAGCACTGGCGTTACCTTTTCATCGTAGTTTGTTCAATGTTGCTCTGCGCGCCAAAAGATCCAACGTTTGGGCGGGATAATGAAACTTTCAAATACATTTATTTTTAGCAAGTCTCCTATTTTTCTAATAAATCATGCTCTGATCGCAGAAGAAAAGCCAACTATAGAGTGCTTTGTATTAAGGCATCAATTTATTCGAGACCAAGCTTTGCGGAGTTATTGAGAATCAAAATTTTATGTTTATTGCTGATGACCCCCTGCGCTCCATTAAGTTTCGCTGATCCAACAAATTGTTTAATTCAAGTATGGCAGACTTTGCTGTATAATTACCGGTTGCCATATATTCTACGGTAAAATTGAGGCAGTTGCATAGTTTCACAGTTCTTCAACAGCGCGCCTGTTTCAGTCTATATCTGTACTTAAAATTTTACAACTGTCATATTCCGTTAACGCCGGAAAATTAATTGAAATTTATTCAATTGAGCTGCGCGCGCCAAAACATCGAACTTTTTGGCGGGATAATGAAAATCGTTCTGATGCGCCTACTTGCTTTTCGATCTCGCTTAGAGCGTAGGAAAAAAGGTGCTAATGTTGTATTTAGTATAAAGATATCAATTCCTTCGAAATCAAGCAACTTTTTCGCTGATCGAACGCTTTAGTTGTACTTGTAACAGTTGTCAAATTTGTTGTTGATCTGCTCCGTAGGAAGACCTGATGTAGTTTGCCATAGAAATTAAACTCTTCTGCCCAGCTGTAGTTGCTCAGTGTATAAAAAGAAAATGATTGACCCGGACGGTAAACTAAACTGATTCAGTTGTGATAGCTTGAACAACGAATTCTGTCCACCTTCTATTTTATCAGTGGTGAGTCTGAAGATTTGTCCGCTTTGGCCAAAATCTTTCAAGCTGCGAACAACCGTCCGCTTTTATTATGCGTTGATAATAAAGGAGAATTTGTCTTACATAAACAACGGAAGTGAATGTGTTGAATTTTTGACTGAGAAACAGTGAGGTACTACTTCATGCATACGATGCTTGGTTAATAATAAATGTCTTCGGTTCTCGCATGTCGCTGATTTCGGCAAGAAGGGTGACAAAGAGATGTGGATTTTCTACAATGAAGTCAAATACAATTTTCTCTTCACAGATCGTTGATAATGGACACACACTTGTGACAAACGAGCTGGTCAAGGAATGCATAATGATGAGTGTGCCGCGTGATAAAAATACAGTTGCAAAATTCCATGATAGTAAAACCTTGAAAATGGTTTACTTCTGAATTTCGCTCTTTTAAGATGGTAAGAAGGAACTTTTTAATAGTCTTTATTCTCAATCAATACCCCACTGTTTCATCTTTACCGCCATGGCGTGCTTGCAGAAGCGACAAACGTACTCATGCGTGCAATAATCACCTTGCGGTTATCGAAGGAACACGACAACAGATTAATACAACTGGCGTGGTTGACTGGGTTCGGCTGGCAAATAAGAAATTGACGTTATTGAACAATAATCTGTTATACTTAGTAACACTTTGCAGTTCCAAACACGTAGGAATTTCAGGTGCTATGTTGTTCGAAAGTAAACGGCAGAGGAAACTGGTCAGTAGAGTAAAACATTTTAAGAGTCCTATGTCAAATGTTATGGGTAAAACTATAAAGCAGACCTGGCTTTTATCGTATGGCTGCTTGAAAACTTCAGTTACGCTGCAAAGTAAGAACTCACCATTATTATTATTATTATTATTATTATTATTATTATTATTATTTTTTGGCAAGTAGATTTTCCTGTTCATTAGCAGAGATCAGCCCGGAGAGAATTGAACCATCTGTTTCTTCGCCAACTACAGAGAAGATGAAATTCTCAAGTAATGACCACCGTGAAGGTACTGGAAATTTAAAATGTGATCATACATGATAAATGTTCCTTTTGTAGAGTTGTAAAAGAAACCAGATTCAGGGTAACAAAAGAGCATCTGATCTTACATAGAAGCAATCTTTACATATCGGAGTAATTCACGATTTACATGCTTCCTATACCCAATTAGTGGCTGAAATTCATGAAGGATGATATCTTAGTCCACGGCAGGGGCTATCCAGTCATTTTAACATATTCAGATTATCTATCACGCAAGAAATTATCTAACTTTCTTAATAACCACAGATGAAATACTACAAAATACCTAGTAAATAAGTTAAATCACAGAATATAGCGGTGAAGTAAAGGACGTTCGTCTATTTCTCAGTTTCTTTCTCTTCGTTTATGCAGCGGTGTGTATCATGCATGACATACTACAAATACAGAGTAACACAGACAACGCCCAGCAAAGTGACCCATCGATGGATCTGCAGAAAACCGCCGCCGATAAAGGATTTTTGGTCTGTGACAACCCCGCCTCTGGAGATTGCATGTTCTACGCGTTATCGCATCAGCTGCAGAGCACCAAAGGAATCGAGATTTCACACAGACAATTGCGTTGTGACTTGGTCCAGTTCCTGGAGAGATATCCTAACCTGGTAAGTCAGTGTTCAGGTATTCTGTTGCATTTAATTTTGAAGATAGTATGTGAAAGCTGTCTGTATGTCTCAGTAATTTTTGATGACATCATCGAGCGGTCTATGGTTTCCAGTGGAGCATATACATGTCTACATGTATCTTGTAATTGGAAAATTATTACCCGTTTTTTAATGCAGCTTTTAGGTCGGCCACAAAATTAAGTTTATGGGTAGCTTCTTAATTTACTGTAGGAACAAGTTACAGTTCATCTAGTTTTATCGTATCGTTTGTTCTTTTCGTTAAGAATGATGGAACAGAGCTGTACAACTTCGTCGATGGATATCGATCATGGTTTGATTATCTGAGAAGCATGGAGAAAGACGGCACCTGGGGTGACCACTTGATCCTTTATGCCGCAGCAAACTCCTACAAGACTTGTATTCGTGTGATTAGCAGTCTTGGCCATGACGTCATGATCAGTCCGAATAATCCCACGGATATCAACACCAATCCACTTGTTATTGGTCACATACATGAGAGGCACTGTGTAAACCTTCTGTCTAGACAAGGTACCTTACATAATCCTTTGAGTTATCTAAGCATCTAACTTACCAGCCGATTTATATTGACTGTCATTTTCAAGCAAAGTCTTCAACTCGCGGTCTCTTTCCAACAATGTTCCCACAAGGAGCAGAAGGACAGCTAGTTAGAGGTATATTACTCAGCAAAACACAAGCCTTATAGGGCCGTTCTTACATGTATAAGGCCTCTCGTATTCAAAGCGAATATTTTTCCTTTTTCCTTGTTCACTGGTAGAATCATATGTAAATCAGCAGAGAACAGGCCCAAGAAAATATGAACCATCGATTTCGTCTGTTACCCCAGCTGCAAAGAAGACCAAATACACTGAGGACCACCACGCAGGTATTGCAATTCTAAGAAATTCTAATTTACTTGAAATGCGTTCTGTTTGAGAGTTTGAAGGAGATCATAAGAGAGGTAGCAAATGAGTATTCAATGCGAATACTTTTCCTTTTTCTTTGTTCACTGGTAGAATCAAATGTAAATCAGCAGAGAACAGGCCCAAGAAAATATGAACCACCGATTTCGACTGTTACCCCTGCTGCAAAGAAGACCAAATACACCAATGATGACCATCACGCAGGTATTGCAATTCTAAAAAGTTCTTAATATACTTGAAATGCGTTCTGTTTGAGAGTTTGAAGGAGATCATAAGAGAGATAGCAAATGGGTATAATTGAAAACAAAACCAAGAATATTTTAACTGAGCAAAAAAAAAAAACAACCAAACCTCTTCGAAGAAAATCTTGACTGAAATGATAACTTATCAAGGTACTTTTTTGTGAAAGATATGGGAGGTAGAGTATTGCTATTTAATAGTTTGTAACCCAAGTAATTACCAACTTCTTTTGTAAAGCTTCAACCCCAAACTAAGTACTTCTCAGAAATTTCCCGCGCTGACAAGGAACTTTTGTTTACCACTGTTCCTGTAGTCTCATCTCTCAATATGCGATCATCCCCATTCAAGAAACGTGCAGCTCATTCACGAATTCATTATTTCAGTGATCTGTTCCTCAAACTTTCCATTCATTCTCGTAGGCTCAGCAACTGTAAATAACTTAAAAGATGACGCACAGGATTCTAGTGGCAAACCACCCCACCTAGATTTTGAGCTTCCAGATTTAAAGGACCTTCCTACGTCAAGCAGCAACTGGAGCGATATTGAACTCCCAGTCGAGATCCTGCTGTTAACAGTGGAGGATTGCGAGTTCTTGGCATGTTTCCACTATCTAATTCAACCCTTAAGGAGCTACCACAAAGACATCGGGTTTGTCTACTTTGGGCTCATGGGATATCACCATGAGAAGGAATTGAAAATTGCTTTGGTCAAGTGCACCAAAGGTTCAGCAGTCCCTGGCGGTTCTTTGACTGTTGTAAATGATGTAGTTCGAGCTTTGGGACCCAAAGCTGTGTTTTCTGTTGGTGCTTGCTTTGGGTTAACTCCCGTGAAAACCCGACTAGGAGACGTAGTTGTGTCTTCAAAGTTGACAACGCTTGCCCACAAAGTTCCTCCAAGCAGGGATATTGGTAACCTTATCAGATATGCAGCTGATGGCTGGAGAGCACCCTTAAAAGACCCTAAAGCTCGTGAAGTAAAAGTAAATCGTGACGGTACTGTCTTAAGTATCCCATGGTCACAGGAAAGAAGTGAGGATATTCTTCAGCAACATCCTGAAGCAATTGCAGTGGAAATGGAAGGTGAAGGTAAGACTTAGTTCTTAAATACCACAGCAAAGCTCGGAGCAGTTTGAGGTATTCGTCAGTTCTGGCTGCAGGTATATATATTGCATTTTTAGCGAGGCGACTTTGTCGAGTTACAGCCCTACCCGAAATCACTGTGTTACGTCCAAGACCGACTCAAAAAGCGTCATACTAAGGGTCAAGTACTTAACCCCTTCTTTCAGAAGAGGTTCAGCCTTTTTTATCACTTTGATGTGGGCCCAATGCCGAAATCATTAATCTAGCTATCGTGTCTCTCTATCTTAGGAGTGTTTGCTGCAGCTCATCATCTGAAAACGGAATGGGTGGTTGTAAAAGGCATCAAAGGCTATGCAAGCGAGAATCGTTCCTCAAGTGATGAGTGGGAAGTATTCGCAAGTGCTATGGCGGCCTCTGTTGTGTCCAATATTTTGAGGAATCCAGGCGTATTCCAAGATTGGAGCCATTACAATGAAGGTAATATAACTCTCCTCTAGTTCTCTTTTTCCCTAACCGCTTCTGTAATCACTTACCTCGACAAAAAGAAAGGTTTTAAAACAACGCACGTGCTTAAACACATCCAAGACAGAAAGGATGTGCTTGATTTTAATCCAACAGAAGTCACAGTCAAAATACTGGTCTCTAGAAGAGCCAACTGGAGTAGTGGGACGAAGAAAAAAATCTCAATCACTGACTATCTAAGCCGCCAAATTTTCAATTTCGCCGTCGAATGCCTCACCAAATGAACTTGTTCACGTATACGGCCCAGTTTTTAAGTGAAAAATTTCCTGCTAGTTACATAATTTCCTACCACATTGGTTATCAAACTTGAACGAAATTATTACGTGGATGGGTCCATGATATACAGAAATAATTACCGTCCTTTAGTGAGACAAAGGAAAAACTTCCGTCGTCAATTGAAAGTATTTAAAGACAGAGACTCTACTAAAAGATGTTGAAATATCGAATTTCTCTCGTTTACCAAATTTTGGCAACCGCAACCCGGTATATTCGACAGTTTAAAAGAAATCGGGCCGGTTCAATTTAGTTACCAGCACTTGGAACACCCTAGTCGCGTAATAATATTATAATAATAGTTAATTGCGGCTAGCTTTAAGGAACCTTTCACGCAGAAATTCAAGTTATGCAAGTATTTTTTGTCCATATAAGACTGAGTTTGTCAATGAATGTTGGTAAACAATTTATTGTAGTTGTGCAGTAAAGAAAAAGTTCAAATTATTCAATCTCATCGATCATTTTTCAGCTCTGACCCTTTTTTTAAATTTTTCTCTTCCTCGTAGATGCTACGGAGCCGATTAATGTGATAGAAAGGATTCGTCAGCTGTATAAAACCCGAGAGGGACAGCATCTTCCAGTTCCATGGTGTGAAGATTTTAGTTTTAATCTGAACGAGATTTTCACCAGGCTCAGAATTTTAGGCAAAGATATCAGAGGAGAATTAAAATGGGCAGACGAAATCACCAATATGACAGCTATCTTCAGACCACATGAAGAAGGCAAGAAGCCACGTACCGTTTTGATAGAAGGAGACCCAGGTATAGGTAAAACAACCTACAGTCAAAAGCTGGCGTACGACTGGGCGACTTTGCCAAAAGATTGGCACGAGACGTTTCCGATGATTGCAGTACTGTTGCTGCTAAGGTGCCATGATATTAAATCTAGCCTTTGGGAGGCCATTGATGAACAACTTCTACCTAAAGACATTGACGAAGACTGTAAAGAAATCTTTTTCAAGTTTATTCGTAAAAATCAGTCCAAGGTGTTGATAGTTCTGAACGGTTTAGACGAAGCTGACCAGGATAAACTGGGGATGTTTATCGATCTCGTTCAAAGTAAACAACTCCCTAAATGCTTTTTTGTCTTCACGTCTCGACATGACTCTGGATTGAGAATAAGGCGCTTCTGTGACAACCTGTGGGAGATTGTGGGATTCACCAGGAAAGATGCCGAACGCTTTATTTACAAGTACTTTGTAAACGCAAAGAACTTGGCGGACAGACTTGTTAAAGAAATTTCGTCGCACCCTCATTTATTACAATTGACATCAAATCCTCTAAACGCTGCATTATTGTGCATTCTTTGTGAGGATTTTAAGGGAACTTTTCCAGAGAGCAGAACTGAATTGTTCATTGAAATTGTGCTGTGTGTTTTGAGAAGATATGAAGAAAAGAATGGAATTTCTAGCTACAATGAAGATTTAATGAAAGTTTACCAAGAGGACCTTCGATGCTTAGGACGTATGGCGTTAACATCGCTCCTTAAGGGCGAGCTCTATTTTGACGAATGCAGACAGAAAAACAGCAGTTTAAATGTTGTAAAGAAGTTTGGACTTCTGTCACGCCAGCCTGGAGGGAGTAAGAGGAAGCCTTGTTACCGTTACGGATTTCTTCACAAAAGCTTTCAAGAATTCTTCGCTGGTTTTTATCTTGCTCTAGAGATTCTCAGAGGAGAAACTGAGCCAGAAATCTCAGTCACTGATCTAAGATTTCTGAATGAATTTAAGGAAGTGTTTTTGTTCATGACTGGCATTGTTGTCTCGCGGTGCAAGGAAACTTCCTTGCGCTTACTGAGTAATATTACTGCTCATATAAATTCACTAGGTGGCCATGGATATCATAAGAAGAGACGTAAAGAAGTCAACAAGAAAATAGAGCTAGCATTTTCTTTTATTGAGGAAAGTGGCAAACACAGAGAAAACTTTCAGTCCCAGTTATTACACCAGTTTGGCTCTCAACTGTGTTTGGAAACTTTGCTTTTAAAAATGGATGCTCGACTGACTTTTGTCTTTGAAAGTCTTTCAGTCAATACTTCCTTGACGGAATTAAGGTTGGTTGGTGAAAATAGGGATTTTCGCGTAGGTGAATCTAAATCCTCTAAACTCTCTGTAGCTCTTTCGTTTAATACTGGAGTTACCTTGTATAATGGTGTGAACATTGGTATGATTACTGATTCCAGTGCAGCATCCCTCGAAAAGGCTCTTTCAGCCAATACTACAAAGTTGTCTTATTTAAACTTGATAGGTTTCTGGATGTGGGGTTCTGTTCTCGAATATCTCTCCAAGGCTCTTACTGTCAATTCCACCTTGACTTACTTGAACTTAAGTGATTGTCAAATTGATGATTCTGGTATTGCTTCTCTCTCCAGGGCTCTCTCAGTCAATACTGCATTGACAAAATTGGATTTATCTTCTAATGCCTTTGGTGTTTCTGGTGCGGCCTCACTATCTGAGGCTCTTCGAGTCAATTCTGCGTTGACCCATTTAAATTTGTCTAGTAATCGGATCCCTGAGTCTGGAGTTCTTTCGTTCTCTCAGACTCTTTCAGTCAATACCACACTGACTTATTTGAGCTGGAACGGTGGTCAACTTGGTGCTTCTGGTACTGTCTATCTCTCAGATGCTCTAACCGACAATGAAACATTGACTGACCTGGATTTGTTTTTTAACGGGATTGGTGACTCCGGTGTCGCTTCTCTCTCTAGGGCTCTTTCAGTCAACACCACATTGACTAATTTGTGCTTAGGTTGTAATCAAATTGGTGATTCTGGTGCTGATTCTCTCTCTACGGTTCTCTCAGCCAAAACGGCTTTGACTTACCTAGACTTGCATGATAATAAGATTAGTGACTCTGGTGCAGCTTCCCTCTCGGAGGCTCTTAAAGCCAACTCTACATGTACATTGACTGATTTGAACTTGAGCTACAATAAGATTGGTGATACTGGTGCTGTATTTTTCTCGAAGGCTCTTTCAGTCAACACCACATCATTGACAAATTTGAATTTGTGCCGTTCTGTATTTGGTGACCTTCCTGTGGCTTCGCATTGGGAGGCTTTTTCAGTAAATAGGATGGGCGACTTTGGTGCTGCTTCACTCTCAGAGGCTCTTTCCGTCAACACTAAATTGACTAATTTGAACTTGGGTGGGCATGCAATCGGTGATTCTGGTGCGGCTTCTCTCTATAAAGCACTTTCGGTCAATAAGACATTGACTAATTTAAGCTTGGGTTCTGACCTTAACTGGATTGTTGATAATTGTCGTATTTCTCTCTGTGAGGATTTTTCAGTCAATACAATTAGTGATTCTGGTGCTGCCTCACTCTCTGAGGCTCTTTCAGTCAACACCACATTGACTTATTTGGACTTGAGGGGTCATTCGATTGGTGCCTCAGGTGTTGCCCATCTCTCCAAAGCTCTTGCAATCAATACCGCCTTGACTGATTTGAACTTGCAAGGGAATTATATCTGTGATTCTGGTGCTGCTTCTCTCTCTAATGCTCTTCTATCCAAAAAAACTGCATTAACAAATCTGCACTTGCGAGATAATTCGATTGGTGATTCTGGTGTCGTTTCTCTCTCAAACTCTCTTAAGGTCAATACAACACTGACTGATTTGGACTTAAGTCGCAACACGATTGGTGACTCTAGTGCTAATTCTCTCTCAAAGGCTCTTGAAGTCAATAATACATTGACAAATTTGAACTTAAGTCGCAACGCGATCGGTAATTCTGGTGCTAATTCTCTCTCAAAGCTTCTTGAAGTCAATAATACATTGACTCATTTAAACTTGAGTAGTAACACCATTGGTGAATCTGGGGGTGTTTCTCTCTCAAAGGCTCTTGAAGTCAATGGCACATTGACGCATTTAGACTTAAGTGATAATGCTATTGGCCCTTCTGGCTGTGCTTCTTTTTCTAAGGCCCTTTCAGTCAACACTGTATTGACTAATATAGAATTGAGAGGAAATGATTGGCTACATATCCAGCAATATCGGATGTAGATGCCCTCTGATAAAAGCTATTTTCCTTGACGTATTTTGATATAGTGGCAACACGATGGACGATTCTGCTGCTGCTTTCGTAAACTGCTTCTTTAAGCTCCTTATGTCAAGACTACAAAAACTGATTTGATCTTGAGTATTAATGAGATTAGTGATATCAGGGCTTCTCTTCTCTCTGAGGCCCTCTCCTCCATTCAAGGTATTTAGATTTGAGTTTAAAATGAGATGGTTGTGTTGAAGCATGACGGATTTTCAAATTGCCTGTTTTTCAAAGTCAGTTTTGAATCAATTGTTAATATTGTCTGCCAGAACTGGACGCCAAAAGTTAAATTTTTGTCATTCATACAATGATTTGTTTTAGATTTTGTCAGTTTTTTAACCTCTCAAACAAGCTTAAGATTTAAAAAAAGAGTGTATAATCTTGCTCAATTTGTACATGACTAAATTTGGCGAGTTTGTGATTGTTATTGGTCGGTAACAGCTAGTAGTTCGGTTGCTTTAAAAAAAAAAAAACTCTTTCCCTTGAATGAATTATTGATAAAATAGAAAATTTATTGTAATATCAACAACTTTGTCAAATTTTGTCGAGAGTTGCTTGCATTAATAAAGTATTACTTGGAGTAGTTTGCATTTTGTGGCCAAAGCTAAGCGCAAGGCAAAGCATAGCATGAAAGCCTTTCTATCACTTTATTTCTGTCTGTTTAATGTGGTAAAAATAACAACCGACCAATATCGCTACAGTGTGCTGAGTTTCTCGCTAATCACCAAGATAATCATTGTATAAGTCACGTAGAGAGGAAAACAATCGAAACTGGTCCAACCAGTTAGTCACACTATTTCAACATTGGCCGGTAAACTAAAAGCATTTTACTGAAAAGTCACGTAGAATCTTACAGACTGAATTAGGGTCGAAATGTTTAACTGCTTAGGTATTATGTGACCGTTTTACAATTATAGCTTAGCTTTCTACACATTTTACTGTTGCATCCTAGTGAAGCATTAAGATTGCTTTCAAATAAAGTGAAAATTTGCCACCCTAAAAACTGAGCTAACACGCAAACCGTGAATCAACGAAAAACTTAAAATCGCATTCATTCCCTTATTTCACGTTCGCTTTTTTGCTCAGAAATTTACTAAAAATGATAATCGCCCTTCAAACTTACCATGATGCTGTAGTGACGGAAAGCTTCACTTCCTTCGAACTTCTCATATTCATTGTACTTGTCTGTGGAAAGTATACAAGTCCGTTTGGCCGAGGAACTGCTGCAACATTTCAGGAAAAACACAGACGATTCTTCATGCATTGCAGCAGACACTGTTCTGTGGTTTGCACGAAGATTTCCTTGATTTTGGAAACGTCAAGATAGTGAAATAAATGATCACTGAAAAGTGCAAAAGTTAGCGTTTCGTTTGGTTTGCACTGCGTCCGCGTAGTTTTGATCTAAAACTTGATGCGTGAAAAAAGCTGAGACAGTCATTAATACATTCATGGTTGGCTAGCTGAACCCTCAACCTTTTGACACAAGTTCCTCCCAAGGGTAATAAAGAGTTCGTATAAAAACGTGTTCTTCTCGTTAGCACGTGAATCTGATTCTTCTAGATATTCTTAACAGACCACCTGCAGATTGTTTATACGCCCAGCCAACAGAGCCACGATACTAACTGTGAAGCCGTTGAACTTTCTGAAAAGTTTTGCATACTTTCATTACGTGGGGTATTTTTTTCCTGGGTAACTGAATTTGGTTTCAACAACTGAGTTGGTAATGTAAATTGGCCACCATAGATTTTCTAAACCTGACGTTTCGAGCTTTAGCCCTTCGCATTTGCTGCGACGAAGGGCTAACGCTCGAGACGTCGGCTTTATTATCTCTCAATGATCGATGACCAATTTACATTATTGATTCAGTTGATAAGACGGATGCGAAAAAATGGGAAAATATCTGCGAGCCAAAGGGTGAAAACAAGCCATTCTCATACTTAGAATAATCAGGTGAATAGTGCAAATTGGTAAATTGGTATGGGTTGAAATTTGCATAGGGACCAGATAAAACGTGTCGAGAAAACCTGTGACTAAAATATTGAACCGATAGCTAGCTGTGCACACGTGTTGTCTTTGCAGAATTGCGAAAATCCAAATTTTTGCTAGTAGTCCAGATTTGATCGACGTTGCGACAGAGGAAAAACAAAAATTGTTATTTTAAGGCGATAAGACGAGATATGGCCTGCCTCGAGGCAGAACACCGGCTTTTTTTTATCTTTAGGTCCTTCGGACATAGTTATGTCTGGTTGCGACAAAAGGGCGCACTTGTCGCAAGCACGCGATGACAGATTTTATGTCCAATGTAAACAACAAAAGCGTAAGTGCGACCCCTGCCCAAATTACTTGCAATAACCCCCACCGTTTCTCTAGAAAGTCTTGCTTGGTTTCTTCATGGTTAGGTAAGAGAAAACGACGAGAGAGAATTTATTGGTTAAGATAGATCCATTGTTATTTTCCGATTGGAAAATGCATCATGCTTCGCGGCAATTTTATCCTTGGTTCAATTTTCCTTCTGTTCGCGGTTTCTTTATTCATAATAAATATGCTATTATTGGCAACATCACACGTAAATTAACAAAATGCCTGAAGAATAGCTAGTGTTCATAACTACACTAACAACATGTCTGTTTCGTTTTGGAAATTTCAAGGTTACGATAAATAACTTAAGAATTAAGAGTGCGATCAACGTAAGGATTTTTACTCTTTCTATCAAAATATGGCATTAAGGCCCTCCACAGACTGGGGATTTTAGTTGTCGACAACTATTTGTGATCGACCACTAAATAAGTCCAATAAAGGATTCCACACACTGGCGCTCAAATACGGATTTAGCAACTGATACGAGGGGAGGTTGGGCACCAAGAGCTTACTGCGCATGCTCCGTATTGCCATAACGCCATAGCAACTTTTTCATCGACATCAATGGACTGCCTCATTCTTGTCTTTTTTCGGTGAATATAAGGGGTCAGTCTTTCAACAATAAGAAGAAACGTAGTCCGGTCTACTCGCAAATTGGCGATAAAACCGCCGTCATACCAGTTTCTACGGCACGTTGGCCAAAAGTCCCTCGAACGAACTTTGCGCCAAATTTGCCGTTCAGTCGTTTTGGATAAAATATCCTGCATCAGAACTTGTTGGTGGGCACAAGCTGCCGCAAAAATGACATCGTTAGTGTCGTTTCCACCTCCAAGAACGGGATGTGGAGAAGGAAGATCAAAAAGAATGTTTTCTTTACCAAGTATTTTACTTCTGCAATCCTCCATGTTTTAAGCCGGCGGGGAAAGCCGCTAACACAATAGCGCGGAGATCTAAAAGTAGTCGACAACTAAAACAAAAGTTTTCACACACTAGAAAAACGCTTAAAAATGAGGCCGTCGACAACTAATAATTTGCGGTTTAGTTGTCGACAACTTGCGCCACAGACTACGTTTTTTAGTTGTCGATCACAAATAGTTGTCGACAACTAAATCCCAAGTCTGGGGAGGGCCTAAAAAACGGTTGCTTTATCGATTGATATTCAAATTTTTTCAAAACTAAACCCGATCGATTCATTTGTAAGGCTTTGTCGTAAATATAACATCAAAAAAATAAACGCAAATTATGGCACTTTCGATTATTTGTGTCATTTCGACCGAACCGTGATTAATTTCTTGTGGTTTTTGGGTGATTTTTATTGTGCTCTTCTAGGGGGCAGATGATATGGAACTAAAGTCGATCTCATTAAGACAGACCACCTCATCACTGGGTCAAAGGTTGATTAGGAGAAAATTAGAGGTGTTCTACATTATTTATTGACCTAAACAGAAAATTATTCGAAATCCGTCATGTAAAATTGATCTGTACAAAGGCTTTTTCTCCATTCATTAAAAAACTAAAAATTCAAATCGGAAATCCCGTGTTCTGACTGGTCGATCTATTAGTATTCGCTAGGTACAAGCTCCTAGACAGGCAATATACTTTAAGTACTCAAAAAAAATCAAAAAAAAAATCTTTGAAAAACTTTGATATTTGCAGTAAAACATTTTTGGAATTGTACTACCGTATTTAGCAGAGTAAATCGAGATTTCTAATGATGCCTCGAGATCTTTGATAGAAATACCCAGTTGGGATTCTAACTGATGAGCGGCAAACTTTTTTTTATGCCGTTGCCTGAATAAACTAGGTAGTTGCTGGAAAAACGCACAAAACGCCATCATCCAGCTGTCCAAACTAATATACATCTGTAGTTTGCCCCATTATTCGATAAACATCACCATCCTCTCCTTGGGTAATGACACTCTCCTCTGAATTAACGGGGAGGACTGGTATTGAGTCGCGGGACAGGGACTGGTCGAGACCATTTGACTTCAATAGGCCGTGTGGAACCAGAAGTTTACAAAAGACTTCAAGACACGCAGCTCAACGTTAGTAACAAGTGTTTGTTCCTCATCTTCGATCTAGGAAGGTAAATTCAATATCACCGACAGTATATCTCTCCAGCCAAAATAGGGCAACTATAAAACTCACCCAAAGAAAATCCATTCTTATAGTGCCATGTTCATCACTGTATTCGATAAACTGTTTCTCTCCGTCTGAAGTGAAATCACCTGCCAAGAAAATAAACACCTGACAGTATAAATTTTGTCAGACAGTCACTTGTTCATCAGACCAGGACATCATCTATTGAAGATGCTTCTCTTTTTTCAGTCAAGCGGATTTGTTTAGGAAAGGAAGAACTTTTTAGGGGAAAATCAGAGGTACATATGCCGTTCACGCCTGCAGTTAAAGGGGTTGTAAATGTGACTTTTTTCTTTGCCAGTGACCAAAGTTCAAAACCTTTTAACTTTTTTAACAGACTTACCATCTAATACTTTGTTGATAAAAATCTTTACGGGCGAGCTGCAAAATGAATTCATAGAAAACATTAACAGATATACTTATTAAAAACCTCAGTGCACATCATGTGCATGAAGCACCATTTTTGAAGTATTTGAAATAGAGTAGGATGTTTTCGACAGCGAATTAAGCCGTAGGAGTCGCCTTCCTACAATAATCTGTCGACGCGCATTGTCTATTTTGCGTTTGGCTCGTTTGCGTGTGGTTTGCCTTACTCGACGCGTCAGGTTTAGCGTTCAATGTTCATGGTATGCGCTTGACACAGGCGATTTTGAGTTCGGCAGTGTCATTTTCTGAGTCGCTTACCTGAAACACCAAAAAGGCTTCCTATCATGTAGAACAGTCAAATCTAAGAAACACATATCCTGGAAAAAAAGAAAAAATCAAGTCACATTTAGACAAAGGATTTAAAAACAGCATAACTCATAAAAGGCGAATGAGCTACATCACGGATTAATTTAAGCTCCCTAAACGTGATAATACATTACAAAGAGCCCATTAGCTCGTGAAAAAAAATCTTTTCAACTCGCTCTTGCGGATCACTCAGATTAACTATGGGAAAATAGACGAAATAAACACGCTTCTAAACAGAGATTGCCTGAGAGCGAACGAGGAGTGTCCCTTCCCTTTGATTCAGTGTGCCAGGGGTTCGTTTCTCGACGGTCCCAGTAACGTAAAGGGCCCGTTAAAAAGTTATGTTTTCGATCAAGATGGGTGTTTCAAACTTTTGAAAATGATATTATAAAACTAACGGCTAAAGGAAAAAAATGAACTGGTTAGGGTGCCAGGACATATGCCTCTATTCTTTAAATTTAGATTTTAAAATACGGTTATGGGTCTGTTAAGCTACCAGGACTTTCGAGAAACGGGACCCAGGTTTGTTTGGAAAATAGATAACAATAAAAGAAACAGTTGACCATGGAATTCGTGAGGATGTCTGGAGAGTAACTTAAGCACTCACGGGTAGGACGTTTTTGAAGAATTCCGTTTTCCAAGGAAGTGAAAGCTTCCTCGTAAATGAACCATGTTCGTGGCCGCCACCTCCAAGGGAAACGTAAGAATCAGCCAAGTATTCTGTTTCAAACAGAAGAATAATGAGTTTTAGAACGAGATTCAAACCATTTTTAGAGGAAAATTAGCTACAGGAAAGAAAAGTAAAACGGAACCACTAAGCCACTAAACTTTGTTTGCATACTCTCACTTCTATTAGTTAAGAGTTTGCTGGTATGACTCAACCTGATTCCATGCGCGATAGAGTTCTTCCAAGGGATGAACCAACTCGGTGACGGACAGATAAATATTGTGGGTAAAGTTGGGTGAGTTTCTAAAGAAACTGTGGTCCTACGTTGGTGAGGAAATTTAACAAAATAATTTGGTTTTATCAACTTAGTTGATAATGTAAATTGACCACCGTAGAAAGTTTCTAACGCCGCAGTTTCAAACGTTAGCCCTTCCCTCATTCACTCTGATGAAGGACTCACTCGAAACGTCTGCTTTAGATACTCTCTACTGTGGCCAATTTACATTTTTATCAACTCAGTTAATAAAACGAAATTATCAGCAAAGGAAGCTGGACTAGGAAAGAAAATTAGTTTCGAGTGCTGTTAACAGGGGTTGAACACTTCAATTTTCTTAGAATCACAAGTACCTCCTGTTTGAAGAACTAGGACCTCTTTGTTTTTTTTAGGCTGTTAATAGGGGTTGAACGCATCAATTTTCTAAGGATCAACAGCAGCTACAGTTTGAAGAACTCGGACCTCTTAAAGCTTTGTTTAGTGAGTTTGCAAAACGATTTTGTCTCCAACAATTTTAACAATCTTTAACAATGCATTTGTATTTTCTTCAGTGTAGTAGCTCACGTTGGTAGAGTTCCCTGTACTGCCGTCCCCAGAAAGTCGTTTTGTGATTTCTCAGTTCTATTGTAGCAGAATATCCATGAAGTCCTGATTAAAAAGATGTCATATTGTCAGTACACGCGCAAGGCCAGGTTTCTTTGCAACAGCTGTTTGGTTTGGCGGTCACGTAACATAGTCTCTCCCCTATGAGAAAACGCTTTGCGTGACGCTGTGTTCTGAGACCAAGGGGCCTAGGGGGGCGATGATCTCTTCACTGTCTGCCATGCAAATCTTAAGCCATTAATTTGGAGAATTTGGTATTGGATCAACTACTAATCATCACCTTTCTGCTTGATTTTATATTGAAACTGTAAGGAAAAATTCTATCTTGGTCACTCATGGGAGTTGGAGGCTTCAAAAAGCTATTTAATTGGCTGTAATCTTACCATACTTTGGGTCTATGTCATCAGGGACAGGCACATGGGCTGAAGGTATGAAAGTTCTAGCAGGAAATAAGAAACAACGATTGTTTTTGCACAAGTGTCTGAAATATATCGATGCAAATGCGACACGACTAACAGGGTATCGCCATAGGCAGACCACACCATGTGTTCAGGGCTTTTAATGGTCTGAGACGAGGATTACCACTACTTCCGGAGATGAGAATGCCTTAAGACGCGAATATAATATAGTCAAGTGGTTTGTGGAGCAGTCAATTCAGGGATACTAAGTCAAAAGTTCTACTGTACCAACTACCACTGAATAAGAGGCGACTTATCATTTCACTTCCGGTCTGCACCAAAAAGGTTAAAAGTACATGTACTTTGGAAATATGAGAACATGATTCATTGCACACCTGCAATGCGAACCCAGGAGGACTTTTTTGGTCAGGTTATGCTGATGTAGGCAAAGTGTAACAAAAGCTAGCTCACCACCAACCTGTAAGATGTAAAAAATAAACAGAGAAAGAAGTTGTCTATGTCAACACTATGTTGTTCAATTTTATTCCACATAACATGCCTTTGGAGCAACTGGAGTGCGACTAACACAAAGCTCCTTACAACTCATCGCATCCGAAAGATAATCAAAATCAATAATAAAAAAAAAGATTCCTTGGGTTCAAGCTTCAATCGATACAGAACTCGACTGCATTTATAAATATTCTTAACGCAAACTCGTGGCAAATGAATGATTTAACATCAGTTCTAACATCTAACATCTTTTGAAGTGAAATAGGAGAGCTATCTCCTAGCTGGAGAGAAGACTAACCTTCCAAGATGCGCTCCAGCAAGCTGCTAATGTAGAGGAACATATCACATGCGCTGTTATCATTCCAGCTCCACTAACGGCTGTAGCTTGTGAAAAAACCAATTGGGAACCTGTGGAAAAGAAAAATAATAACACACCTAGCCTATCAACCGTCTGAGACTCAGAAGGACTAGCTTTCAATTTTGAAGACCAGACCAAATTCTGCTACGGGTAACTAAGTATAAGGTTTCAAAATATGTGTAAGTTGTCCACAAAAAAAAGCAGTTACTGTACTAAACGGCCACGGATACTGTATAATAATTTTTTAAAAGATCTTCTGAATATATTCATGAAGACGATGCTTCTCACCTTTAGAGCCGCGAAGATCAAATTGGAGGATAAGAGATCTTGTAGTGGCACTGAAAAGAAAAAAAGCTTTGACTTCAAAGTGAAGATTTTTCGATATCCTCGGGGAGAACGACATCACACAAGCTGCTTGTATAAGAATTGAATTTCCATATCTATGACCAAAAGGGCCTACAAGGGATGAAACCATGATCTGATTGTGCCCATTTCGAAACTAGACCAGGCTATACAGTTTGTTTTTATGTTCCTTCCATTAACTGTATTGTAAATACGCTAGGCATCGAAAATCAGAGAATTATCTGGCTACTACGCAGAAGTTTGATTACCTGAGAAATTATTTAAATTAGACGAGCAGGACATTCTCCCATTATTTTACATAATTCCTTTGTTACGACATCTTTCAGTAAAAACTCGCAAGCTCATTACCATCGTCAATCTCTTCTTTTTTTTTTTTTTAAAGATAAATTACAAAAAAATTCTGCGAGTTTCCGAGTTGAAAATTGACTGTGACTATTCACACTACAACTATTCAATCGCGTAAAATATTGAAAAATTAATTAATGCAAAATCTTTTTTTTTCCTTTTGAGCGACTGTGATCACCTATCATAGTGAGGCTTCCAACTTCTGCTAAAGAAAACCGGCACAAAAGCAAACACCTGGAGTGTCTTCAGTTTCGAGAGAGGTGGTAAATGTAGAGAATACCAGCGGACACAGAGTGAAGACTGGAACGGTGTGCTGCAGTCAGATGACCTCCAATATTCCTTACGAGAGGTGTCTGTGACACAAAGCTTCCATCTAATGTCAGTATACCTGGGTGAAGAAAAATAAAGAGTTTGTTTGTTTGAGCGTATTTCTTGAGCGTGTACAGACATTTCTTTTATGTGAGATGGAAAATGGGGCTTGTCTTGTGTAGCTCACTTTTGATGCTCGCTAATTTGAAACGCTATACTGTCAAGGGTAGAAATTTCCGATCACCACTCTGAGTTAACCTATAACTTTTGACTCTTGTTTACAAACAAACCTAAGGGGATGAAACACATCTTTTTGTAATCCAGTGTAAGGTGAAACTCCACGCTTTCTGAGCATGTCTTCATTCCTTGCCTGAATACATCTACATTGTATGAGTATAAAAATAAAAAAAATTAAAAAAAAAAATTAGTTGTCTTTTTCTAAGTATCATAACTCTTTCGGACTTTGACTGAGTTTTACCTTTTGATTATTTCATGCTTCCAGTCAAAACTTTCCTCTTTTGCTTCTTTAAAGGTTATAGTGTCTCTAACTCGCTTCGGAAGATAAGGGAGCAGTGGCTCCCACAGACAGCTACAATAAAATGAAAAAAAACGAAATGATGTATGTAGAACTCCAAAACAAAAGTTTAAAGTATTATTAGCTACTTGTAGTGGAATGCGAGAGTAACATTCGATTGTCTAAGTGAAGGTACACGTAGTCCTGACAATGATTTTTTGCTGAAAAGAAAGAAACCTTGTCATCTTCAAGGTCAGGTGACAATTGAGGTGAATGCAAGGTTTGTTGTAATATTTTTGTTGGTCTGATGAAAACCACAACTGACAGTTAATTTGTAAACATCTGTAATTTGTAAGAAATTGAAGGCAAAAAAATTTAATACAATGAAATAATGTTGCATTTCAACGGATGAAGGATTCTTAACAAAAAACTACAAAAATGGTTTTTATAAATGATCTCCAACTTAATGCTAATAAAAAAAATATATTTTATGATCTCAAACGTAATCTTGTGCGATGGAACATGAGGAGTGGGATGTACAAAGAAGCTGCAGTGGAACATAATCATGAAAGGTCTCCAAAAAATTTATAGTAATAAAAATTTTAACAGCTATTAGAGTTGTGTGAAATAGTTAAGTATAGCCTTGGCCAGCATTAGGTCCTGGAAGAGACTGTTATTAGAAGCTGTTGATAATGTTTCAGGAAAAACTGAAAACTGAGAAAGGGTCATCATCAGAGTCAAGAGATGCAAAGGTAATGGCTGTGTTTGCTAAAATATATTTTACACTACAGTGGGATCCCAGAAAAGGAGTGGGGAAGAAATTAAAAGGACAGGGACAGCAAGAGAGCTGTGCCAAGGTTTAGTACTGTGACCTTGGAGACCACCAGAAGAGATGCTGCAGAAGAGAAATGGAGGAAAAGAAAGGCATCAGCTGCACTGTGCCTCCCTGCCAAAGGATTCCCATGCCCAAGGTGTGGCAGAGTATGCAGATCAAGGATTGGCTTGCACAGTCACCAGGGGGCACGTCACCAGATACGACCTTCCCAATGATCCATCATCATTATCATCAGTCTACAGGGTATATCAGACAAACGACATGCCTTTTGAACTTAAAAACTTGACTCACGACTTGCAATCAGATGATGTTATAAAATGTCTCTTTATACACATGGATCAAAGATTCCCTCTGATTGTAAATGTTAAGAGCATGGCTAAATGTTATAAATACAGTGGTAATAGTTGCTCTATGTTCATAGACAATGAGTGGTTTGTTAGCCAGCTGTTGCAGCTAACTGACATTTTACAAACATTTGGAAGGGAGTTAATTACTTCTCAGTTACTAAATGACTGATAACTGACTTGTCTATGTGCAAATATACCTGTCTTGTGAAACTGCAGACCACTTGTGACACACCTGAGCACATACCAGCAGTTCAGACGGACTCAGGTATTTGAATATCTTTAAGAGGATTTCCTCTGGAACCCTAAGAAACAAGTTTGCAAATAGTTATTGTGGAATCGGCAATAGCAATTTAAAACCATAACTCAGGGCTTCTAATGTTGTAAAGGCTATTTATATAAAGAGGAAACCTGGTAAGGTCCAATCCTCTCTTCAATTTCAAATCAGCAGATGGATGTGATTTTCCTTTTTGGGTTGACGATGTTCTCACTCCAGTAAGGGTTTTCCTAAGAAATCAAAATTTATACTTAACAATTAAAAATATATTCACTTTTTTCTGATATCCTATATACTAAATAAATGTAAAATCTAATTCATCAAACCCAATATTTGACATTAGAAAGATGATTGGGCATGGATTTCAACTTACTAATTTTTTAAATATTGTTTTAATCATAGATGGGAAGTAAGTACAGTCAAATCTTGATTATCCGGACCTAGATTATCTGGACTATTCGCTTATCCGGACTTTTTTCTCTGGTCCTAATTTTTTCATGAAAATTAATTAGTTGTGATCTTGAACTGAAAACTCAAAGCGATCAATTCAAGCTACATGTCTTTGAAGCAAACAAACATGCTTGAACAAATAGACCTTAGCAAATACCTGAACTGAAAGTTTAATTGTAAATACATACAGGCTGCATAGATTTCACAATTAAAATGATGTTTTCTTTGCTGTATACCTTTTGTTTACATTTCTATCTCATTAACATTCATATTTTCTATTATCCGGACTCTCGATTATCCAGACTATTTACCGCGGTCCCGACAAGTCCGAATAGTCGAGGTTCAACTGTACAACCATGTACGAACAAAAGATGCATATAATAGCTGATTATATTCTTCTCTGATATTCCATTACAACTGGAATTGCAAAGGTACATACAGTGATGTATACCTCAGTTGGGATAGTCAAGGTTAAATTAAACCTTTGGTCCCCAAGAGTAACCAGCATCAATTTCTCTTCACAATATCACCCTTGAATCAAACACTTAGCTCACAAGGATAAAGGAGATGGTTGCCAACTAAAGAAGATCTTGATTGTTAACCAAATTCTCCTTGCTGGCACCTTAGGAAATGTCTAGAGAACAGTATTGAGAATAAGTATACTGATGTTAGGGTATGAAAGGTCAAACAAGGGGTTTAAATAACTTTTTCCATATGCCACTGCTTACGGTGTAATAGGAGGCTGTACTGAAAAGGAGCCATAAAGCAAAACCCAAAAATGAGAGCTGCACTCAGGCTGTTCTGTCCTGGTGTACCGGTTTACAAGGGAATTACGATTGTTCTTTCTTTGTTTAGGAGTCATTGGTTAGCTGTTGTGTATTGTTCGGTCTTTTGTGTCGGCTCTTGTGAACCGGTACACGAGGACAGAACTACGCAGGCTAAACATGATGATGATCGTGAGAGTTCTTAAGGGCAATGGTGGTCCGAAGGTAACCACCTTTTCATGAAACCTTTAATTAAACCGTATTACTGAGAAGCTTTCACACACCCTTCATTACCAAGATCATGACTTTATCCACAGTTCACCCTCTTCCTTTCTCAGTAAATCTTAGGAAGAATGGATGAGCAATAATCGAATAGAGGCGAGAAATAAAAATTTTTCTTAAAATATTGCAGGCGACAAAATTTGCGATAATTTTAAAAAAATTTCTGTACAAAGTTAATATAATACCAGTGTGCGATACTAAGGATATATATAAATTGATCGTCATTCTCTTGATAGGGTTCAAATGGCGGTGTATGCTTTCTCACGTTGTTGCTCAGGCAACGTTCTGACACATACCACAGAGCAACAGACGCAAAGACCTCGAAATCATTTCTTACCTATCTGTTGCAGCACCTGACGATGTTGATCCAGAGCGTTTGGATTTCAAATACGCACTAAGGTGCTTTTGATGCTGCGACATAATCTCAAACGACGTTTTCTACAGATTCTGCCGCCATGTTTGTTTCGTTAATGTTAAAAGAGCGAGGCCTGGTACTAAGATATAATTTCCGCTTGGCGTCCACTTCTTAAAGTGTAAAATATCGTTCAAACATGGCGGATACTGAAACGAAGGTGAAAATTGAAGATACAGACCCCCAAAGTGTTCAAGATTTGACTGGATTTGTACCATTCGACATCTTCTCCTTTTAAAATGCTCTTGTTTTATGTGATCTTGTCTTTTGGCGTTGTTTGTGGCTATAATCATCTTTAAATTGTCAACGTAGTTTCGATTGCAATTCCTGATTTTTCACGGCCGTTATATGCATCAATTTTGTTATTGGATTTAAATGACAGTGTATTTGTTACTTGTCTTGTCTCTCCTGTTTCTTTTTCCTTCATTTACAGGTGCAAACTTTGCTTCAACAAATGGTAAGTACATGAGTTTTTTGTGCTCTTCCGGTTACTAGTATTTTGGTTTCGAAATTTCTGCGTCAGTACATTGTATGTTGTAAAACCTGTTGTTTCTAATTCATAGCAAGACAAGTTTCAGCAGATGTCAGACCAGATAATCACAAGAAATATCCTTTACTTATTGTTAGTATGGATGTGTACGCAGACATGTTATTTCACTGTTTCAAGTTGACAACATAACATTTATGCAATACATTTATCGACTGTAATTCTTGGATGCTCTCAAAGAAGAAATGTCTAAACGTAGTTGAAATCCTTAAATTGTGTCATTATTTCGTTGGTAAGTTGCACAGGGTATTTCCTTTAACTAAACATATCTCTTTCCTTAAATTGAACTATTTTAAGTCTGAAAATGGGGAAAAAAGGGGGGAAAATTCCCGCTGGTGGAAGGTCTATTGGATATTGTGGGTGATTCTGGAATGTTCTGAAAATATATTCAATTCTCAAACCAATCAATGTCCCACGAGGGTTAAAGCTGCATAGCAATGACTTCTATTAAAAATATACTTTTGGTACAAACTTTGGTAGTGTTCTTCTACAGTACCCTGTACACTTAGGCATTTGCACTCTTAGTAAGCTGCCAAGCAGGATCTTGGATCATGACAAGGGTAATCATCATAAAAATTAAACCTTAGGACAGAGAGTGACCAGTGGTGTTGTATTCGTTTGAGGGGTGGTACAGTAACGAATTACGCAAACAATTAAGTTAGTCTGTTATCAGTGTTGGTTCGAACCAAAGATAAGTTAAATTCAAGCCTGTTGTGAAATGGCTTGTTTTTAGTAAACTGCATGGTTGCCAAAATGAACATCTAGCAAACCCTTTCACTCCCAAGGACCCCCAAGATATGATGGTGAATTCTCCCCTCTACCTGCTGCTCATTTCCTTGTAAATTAGTTCTAGCCCAGGGCCCAGATGTTTGAAGGCCGATTAGCGCTTACCCAAGGTTAAATTTTAATCCAGGTTTCTATATTTCTTTGTTCAAAAGCTGTTTTGGGATAATTTTCCCAATTCTTTTTAGCTCATTCAATCATTACATTGTAAATGAGTGGAAATAAGCTGAATTTTCTTTTAAAGCTTTTGGATCTGAAATCTAATTTCACACTAACCCTGGGTTATCCTAATCCACCTTTGAACAACTCGACCCAGAGAACAAGATAACAACTGCTGATAAGTTTGAGTATTCTCATTACCTGTTTGCTGGAAACTATATTGATATTATAGGGAGGAATTACATGTTAATCCCTTCTGGGAGTAAAAGAGTTACTCTGATGCTTGAGAAAGTAGTGTTTTTACAAAAGTTATTCGATAATCAAAATCCACTTTTCCAGGTATGAAGAATTATGACCTATAAAAATTGTTTGAAATATTTTAAATCTAGAATAGCCAGTCCTCTTTGACTGAGATATCAAAACTTTCCATAGCATTCTTTTCTTAATTGTTTGCATAAATGAATTGTTTCATGGGACTAGGAGATTTTGTAAAGTTTCACATGTTTTGCAGTTTAGCCCTTTAAACTGTTTTTCCTTGACTACTATTGGCACTCGACGACATGAGCACGCGAATCGATGATTTGGAGAAGAACATCGGTGACCTGATGAATCAAGCTGGGGTAGATGAGCCAGAAAAGTGATGAACACATCAAGAATGCCTTGTCACAGATGAAGTTCACAAAAGAGCTCAATGTACACTATAAACGAATACAACAACTTTAGCTACAATAACCACATTCAGAGCAGTATATTTTCAAGGATTTAGCCTTTCAATGTATGCATAATATTAGATTTGAACTGTTACTTCAATTTTTTCTTTTCTTGGGGGAAATAAGAACATCATACTAATGCTGATTTATAGAGTAAGCTTTGTCACTGTAATTTAGTTGTGATCTTTATGAGACATGAAAGAATTGCAATAAATGTGATTAATTTGATACATGTAATTTCAGTTGATACAATGATGAAACTCTAACACAGATAATTTTTCCCACATTCTCAAATGTTTCAAAGTGGTTTCTATTGCCTTACCTGTATCCATGCAAAGAAACCTTGGAATCAAGGTTATGCATTTGAGGATGATTTTTGCTACTTAAGAAATCAATTTAGAATTCACAATTTTGGCTGGTGACAAGACACAGATTACACCCCTCACATAACTTCTATCCCACATTATTCAGGTGTCTGTTGGATGAAAATACATTTAGACACTTAATTTGACTATAAGAGTCAAGGAAGTCAAGTATATAGTGGGTTTCTTGTTCAAGGATGGTCATACTTTCTGTGTAGTTTAGAGGATTCTGGAGATGATCTGGTGGGTCCATTCATCAAAGAGGGAGACTGGGACAAAGTGGCCTAAAAATAAATTAGAGTGGGTGTATTCGATGTATCAAACAACCCTTTTGTAAACAGTTATTGATATGCCAAAACTGTACTCAGGCATCACTCTCTTCATTATTAACTCACTCGACTGAAGACGTGTCCCTTAATGTAAACCATCTGTTATGATAACAGCCCAAACATATGGACACAAAGAGATTTATTTCCAATGAAAATGCACTTCTCCACTTTTAATTTGGAAGATCGCTTATTAGAGATTAAAATGTATGCTAATAGCTCTTTTCGATAAGTTAATGCGTTCTTAAACCAACACATATGACGCGGAATTCAACAAACCTTTGCTCAAGATAAAGATAAACGATAAAGGAAAAAAGTCAAGGTTATCCTTCTTCGCAGGCGGAGGCGTTGTGGCATTGAAAAGGTACAATGGGGAGGGCGTGGGTATCATCGATGTCTTACACCAAGACAAGCGCGCCTCCAAATCAAAACCTCCAGACTGTCTCTTTCGCGGTTAGACGTCTTTCCAATGCAGTGTTAAGTGAATTCGTAAACGATTAGTAACTGTACGTCACCGCTGAATTTACTAAATACCATTTCAAGAAGCGCGATGCTTAAGCAACGATCACGAATTTTTAATAGACTGACGAGCCCGAATATTTTGCAATACTGAATTTTATGAGGAGCGTTAGAGGGAAGTAGGGAAGTAGGGGGAACCGTGTGTTTGCCTAATTTTCGTTTAAAAAAGGGGAGGATTTAATGGCGACAACTACCAAAACCAAGACGCAACTTACCGCTTGAGCTTTGCACCGCAATTAAAATACCAGTTAACGTTGCTTTACATCACTTTCCGGCTCCACTTTTGTCGTCCAAATTGATGTTTTGTCGATGTGATATCAGTAATGAAGACGAATCATGACTAAGTGCGGGGGTTCGAGAATTGTTCGAGAAAACACATGCCTTTTATTTTTATTGTTCGAGAAAACACATGTCTTTTAAGAAAAAAAAAGTTTTGTTAACAGCTTAACGCCTTTATATTACGTAATGGTTGACCGAGCATTAATAATGCATCATTTTCTTACGAAGCATGATTGTGGGAGTCAAATAAAGATTCAATGTGCAATTTAATTTACTGAGGACTTCTCGAATGCACGCATGTGTGACCGATGCAACAAAATAATGTTCCACGATTTGCGAGCAGTTTCACAACATCTCTATGACCTTATTCAAAGAGCCTCTAGAAAACAGTTGAATACATTACCAGGAAATGGTCCATCTTCGTTTGAATAGCCGAAATGAAAAATTGAGGCAAACGAGTGGTTTAATTACATTTGCGTTTAGGTATAGATTACAATAACAGCCGTGATGACGAAACAAGTTTCAAATGAGCCGGTTCGATTCGTAATGAATAATCAGTTGAATCTATTTCCTGGAGATCAAGTGATATTTTCCCACTTCTCAAGCGTGGTCTAAATTCCTCCCCTCCCTCCCCCTCTTGTCTATTAACAATCGTCCTCGTTGATACTGGAAGGAACCGACTCGTGATTTAATTGACTTGCACCGAAGGAGTCTTGAGGCGAGAGAAGCTAAGTCAGTTTTTTCGGTTGAAGAAGCCGTATTGAACAAGAATCTCATACTACAATTCCACTGTCACGTTTGCTGAGCGAAACTTGGATAGGTTGAAACACACTTAAAATGGATCATCAAGATGGTGAAGGGTAAAACCGAATTCTGCACTACAGCTACAACCTCACAACGGAAAATAAGCCGGAACAGAGACCAAACTCATCTGGCAAAGGTTTATTCGGTAGATGGACAAGAAATAGTGCCATGTTTGGATCGGATAGCACCCTTAATCAGACGACGCTCTACCAAGCGGACGATGGGATGAAAAGAAGTAGAAGCATTCCTACGTTTGGGCGAAACATTCTGAATGGGAGCGATTTTAAAGAAAGTCCAGATTCTCAGACAACTAAGAACATGTTCTCTAACGGGGAGGAAATGGCGGGCCTTTCAACGGCGACAAACGCGCAGAGTCCCGGGAAGACGGTTGATGGCTCACGAGAGCTTCGTTCACGCAAGTGTGGGCTCGGGGATCTAACAAACCGAGGAATCATGAGCCATAAACTCAGAAAAAAAGCTGTCTGTGATTCCTCTGACAACTTGCATTATCAAAGACAATTTCTTCGAGTCTTAAACAAGAGATTTTAAGGTACTTTTTTTCCCAGATGGACAATCAAAGAGCAATATACACCGAGACCACTTAGCAACTATAAAGTGTGGGTTTTCATTATATTTGGTGAGTTTGCATCTTGATGCGTAAGAGTTGAATCCGTTGTTGGGAGTGAGCGCATTTGAGAAAATCATGCGACTTGTGTACGAAGCACTTTTTATCGCCCTCATTAGAGAAAACGAAAATGGAATATCTCAATGACGTTTGTAAATAAGGAAAACTAAACGAGGTTCCTTGTATAAATATAATGATCGTGCCGAATGTTTTTCAAAGAATCTATCCTATGTGTAGAAATAAAATATCGAGTAACCACTAGATATTGCAAAACGTGCTTAACTACATAATCCGGGAGCCTTTTTTTTAATACATTTTCATCAGATGTTGTTTTTTTCCCACATCTTGAAGTTAATAACTGTCTCATATTCGGCTCGTAAAAAAGACATTTCCTCTACTTATTTACTATGTTTGCACGGTACAAAGTATCTCGTTAATCTCGAAACACACCAGAAGCTATTAAAAAAGATTATCATTTCTATGGGGAAAAAGAGGAAAAAACAATCGTCAACATGCAAATTTATCATTCATTTAATTTGGCTCTGAAACTATATTTGCATGTTTTAAAAACTAAATCTTCGCCAGCTGATATGATGCGAAATAGGAATTGTCCTCGTTTATGTTTCCCAACGACATTAAAACATCCCGTCGCACAGAGAAGTGAAATAATGCCATGAAAAAGGAGTTTTATTGAGCGTAATCGTTAGGGATATGCAGAAACAGTTGAAGTAAAATAATTCCATTGTTATGTATGTAAGTAAGAAATGAAATTTATGAATAAACATCACAAGATCGAAAACAAAAAAAGCCGACCTCAGCCGATGAACCGATCTGTCAGGCTTGCGAATATGATTTTAGTTGCGTTCAGGTTAATGAGACACGAGGAAACAGATCGTCATAAAGAATGAAAGACATTTGCTTCATAATCAGGTCGATACAAGAAAACTGATTCCAGAAATTTTTAGTTTTGTCTGTTTGTCATCAAAACGTACTGCCTTTTGGAAAGATTTCCATGTTACCCATGCTATACATCCAAAACCGTAGTCCCAAATAAGGCAATCTATTAATACGGTATTCATAATGCCGATTATGGGACAATGCGGAAATCTTGCCCTACTTTTCATTATTTTACCATTATTTCAAATATTATTTTTCCCGACTTAATGCTTTTTGCACTAAAGCTCCTTGCCGTCTAAATTTGGTCTCTCATCAACGAAACATGGGACAGATGATTGAAGATCCAAAGCCGGCTGAAGTACGTCAATGAAGTTGAAAGGTGCTACCGGGCGCTCGACTGGAAACAAGTTTATTTCCTGTTTAAGCGATTTTGAGATGTCGTCGACGTGCAATCGGAGAAGTGCTGCAGTAATTAGACAAATACGCAGCTTTGACTATAGATAGCGGCTATTAGACATCTTCCTGCGTCAGCAATGAGATAGTTTGCTAAATATACATCAGGTTACTGATGTTGACAAACTTGTGGTTTAAAGCACGGCACCCAAAAGCTTGTTTAAATCGAAATTAAATAACGTATAGTATTCAAACGAGGCGCCTGATTGTTTCGAACAGAGCGGGATTAACTTCAAATAATTCTTCCTTTCTAACTGCATATGATTGTGTTTTACTAGCAGAAAAGGCCACCAATTACCGCTTAGTGCTTGCTAACTAGCCAGCCATTACCGTACACCTATTTGCTCGACGTGACATAGACCGCCCTCATATAAACGCTCACCCAGTCAGAAAAACAACAACAGCAGTCTTCATTTTATCATTTTTCATTGATCGTTGAAATTATTTAAAAGAAAAAAAAATGATTATGATGATGATCATAACAAAGGGATTCCAGAATACAGTTGGCAGCATTCCGTTATCGACTCAAAATAAATGGAGCCTACCTATTTCAGTGAGAAGCTGGAACACATGTTGTCAAAAAAGCCTTTCGCAAACTGCAATTTCATATATATCTTGTTAGAGGATTGGTATATAAAAACAGGTATCGCGAGCGTTAGCATTGTCAACTGTTTTACCTTAGCCCTATCGAGGTGCTTCGATAGCGCAGTAGGCAGCACGTCACTCTCATAATTCAACAAGATATCTGAAGGTCGTGAGTTCGATCCCCACACGGGGCAGAATTTTTTTTCAAAGTTGTTTTAAACAACTTACTGCAAAGTCGCACCATAGTACGATCGTCGCGATATTTACAATCGGAGAATTTGAATTCATTCCACCATTTTAAACAGAACCTCTACCTGAGGAAACCTACAATATGAATAAAACTAAGATGTCGCCCCCAAAGGGCTCGTTTAGGAGCAA